ATGAGACACAGCCAGTCACGTAGTTACCTTTATCTTGCTGGCCGTCGTCCGGGTTCCGGGGCAACTTATAGGACAGTTTCGGTTTTTGGTGGAGTTCTGTGTTCCCTTTGAGGTTTAAAAGACAGCGTTAATAAGGGTTAGAAGTGGAAGTGACCTCACAACAATCATCTCTTCTATATGGATGTGTCTTGTATGTCATCGGACATCGTGGTCTCGCTCAGGCAGTTTGCGGTGTTTATTGTGTTTATTTTGTGCTGGCGAGAAAATTCCCCAAAAAGAGACGTCAGCCCATTCACATGCCAAGTACCGGCAGGGAACGCTGCGCAACATTGCGGACACATTACAGCGAGGGGAACGCAACGCACGGCACATGTGCATTGCAGTCTGCTGCCCTTTATGTAGTGCGGCACCCCAATACAGTGTGCACATCAGCGCCTGCCGCTCACTACATCGTCCACATGAAGTGCTCATACAGCAGACTCTCAAAGAAAGAAGAGAAAGGATGGACGTGACTGACTCCAGGGATGAACAGAATGAACCCTTACGTAGGGGATGCCCCCGCACTGCGAGGGGTGAGTGTTGGTATTGATCTAGGGACTGGAGTAAAGAAGATATACTCATCTGGTCCTCAGTCCCACCTGGCTCCTTGATCCCCGCAGCCTTTTCTTCCCTGGGCTCCCACTGATGTAATCACGTCTAATGCAGGTCCATTCACCTGCGTTACATGTGAGCAGGGCAGCCGTCAGAAATTTTGGGGCCCCTTACACGGCTTTAGGCTGGGCTCCCCCCCCGCCGCCGCTGGACACGGGCTAAGCGACGCGCTGGACGCAGGACCCACCTGAGAGTGACCCTGCAGAGCCCACCATAGATGCTGCACAGCCCATCTGAGACTGTCTATGGTGGGCTCTGAAGAGATCTCAGGTGGGCTGGTCAGGGCTGCATCCCTCCCCTCCCTCCTTCCTTCCTAGCTCCTCTTACCTGCACACATGGCCCCGTCTGCCGCCGGACGTGACGTCACTTCCGGCCAGTCCGACATCAGACGAGCAGCATCGCTGATGGGGCCCCAGCTTGTCTCGAAGCCGCAGTAGCGGCAATGCTGGGGCCCTGAGCTGCTAGGGCCAGTCCTCCGCCTCCTCGCCCTTCACCGTCGGCCGATAGTCATGTAAGGGGCCGGGCGGGCCCCCCAGGCTGCCCGGGCCCCTTACATGAGTATCGGCCGTACCCCCCCTGATGGCTGCCCTGCATGTGAGGACGCCAAGGGACATACCACACCACCTGGAGAGGAGGGTAAGGGAAGGCGAGTGCTGACTGCAGCAGGACCAGGTAAGTATATCATCTGTATTCCCCTAGAACAAAACGAGCCTCGCTGCAAGGGTCCATTGTGTTCATTCCTGGAGTTCCTCTTCATAAAGGGAATGACTAAGGCCCGGTTCACACCTGAGCGTACAGAATATGCGCGTTCCTACGCTCTGTACAACGCTCAACATGTGAAAGCCAATGATTGCCTATGGGCGTGGTTCCCACCTGGGCGTCTTACAGCGCGTAGGAACGTGCCGCAAAACGCCCTACGCACAAAGAAGTACAGGAGCTTATTTGGGGCGTATTTGCCGCGCGTATCCATTAGGATACAGCCAGGTAGCCCTCGGAAACGCGCGTTTGTCGCACGTTTTTTTTACCGCGGCACGAAAAAAAACATACGACAACCGCGCATATTCGATACGCCTAGGTGTGAACCCGGCCTAAGGTCTCGTTCACACCTAGGCGTATTGCATATGCGCGTCTGTCGCGCGACCGTCGTGCGTTTCCGAAGGCTAGTTGGCTGTATCCCAATGGAAACGCGCAACAAAACGGGCCAAAGTAGTACCTAGACCTTTTCAGGCGCGGGCCGCTTTGTAGCGCGTTAGGGACGGGGGGGCGCCAAGGTGGGAACCAGACCATTGAATACAATGCGATTTATATGTTTGAGCGTTTTGTAGAGCGTTCGTCGAGCGTAAAACGCGCCACAAAACGTTCAGGTGTGGACGAGGGCTCAGGTTGATTTGGGCAGTATTATCAGTTCTTAGCTGAGATGACGGGGACATGACCTCCGACTAGCAGGAGGAAAGATCAATGCAGACTCAGAAAGTATTAGAGAACAATAAGAACATTGACACTTTCTTGGAGTAATCGCAGAGAAAACGGTTCGAGACTTTTTTGGGTAGACGTGATGGACCACTTGATGGTCTTTTTCGGTCAGCGGCCTTCTATGTTTCGAGGGTTTTTCTAAGGCCGGTTGAGGCCGTTCAAATTTCCTGGAGACCCTTGAGGCGTGGAAGCAGCGCACATGGGTAGGAATAAAGCATAAGATCGGAGGAGGGGGCAGCTGCCGCACACTACCGGCTCCTCTCAATGGGAAGAGAAGATCCAGCCAGGAATGGCGCAGCAGGTGACCGCCATCCGACTAGGATATCTTTAAGGGGAATGCTTTTCTTGGCTCCATCCAAAGGAGAAAAAACTGGATTCCATCATTTGATTCCATTTCTCATAGGCTAAGCTGACTACACGGGACACCCAACTGTAACCAACTACCGCAGAGAAGGTGGCGACCTGAAAACAGTCACGTGTGATCAAAACCAGACAGCAGAACACGCGGGGCAATGAAGGCGGTTCTGGCCGGGCAACTGATCAGTCTTGGCAGTTGATGAGGTCCTCCACCCCCCGATCTTTGCCAATCAGATGGCACGGCCACCATTATTCAGACTGGGAAAAGTTCCCGGACACGTGAAGAAAAGGACCCGACACCGCAGCACGTCTCACCACAACCAACCAGATCCTTCCTTTTTCATTGTCCAATCTAATCCGGAAACACGGAAGGCAGTATTGGATCGGTTGATATGGGCAATGACCTGCCCCGTTTAAGATCTCCTATTCGGCAACTATCCGTAGACTGACGTCAAGGCTTCGGGTCCTGCCCCGTGTCCACTTTACAACACAACTCTGAGCTACATTGGAACTTCCGTCGTCTGCCTCGCAAAGTCACTTCCCATCCCGCTGCTAGTTGTCTTATATCATCTCCTCTACGTCTCCCCGCCTGACGCCCCGGCACCCCAGCAGAGGAACCTCCTCCAATGGACACCCCAAATCATACTTTCCTCAAAGAGTCCGAGTCAACGTTTTCTATGGAGAGATCTGTGAAACGGGAGGACCGACCATGTGTGCAGACTGGGCAACTGTACAAGGGCCCTCAGAGACTATCTATCACCTCAGATTGTGTAACATAAACCAATACTGTAATGTCTCCTTCCTGTAATCCATGGAGGTTTCCCTTCTCTTTGGTGCTCTTCCTTTTAAATCCTCATGTCTTCTCATGCTGGGGGAGAACTTCCCTTTTCAGCTCAGGGCCTCTTCCTGTAGTGCCGGCTCAGGTTACAAGCCTATACAATCTTATACACAGACACCGTGTATCCATTCCTGAGACAAGGCAGTATGCTGCAAAACAGAAGTTCGCCCCCAGCATGAGAAGACATGAGGATTTAAAAGGAAGAGCAGCAAAGAGAAGGGAGACCACCATGGACTACAGGAAGGCGACATTACAGTATTGGTTTATGTTACACAATCTGAGGGTTTCGTGTCATTTTAACAAGGAAACAATCCCTTTAAGGGAGCGTCCGTGTCTAGTCTGAGTCCTCAGTGCTAAATCCACTCTTAATTCACCAAACCTCGGCCGGGATTCCTGGGGCTCTCCTGGTCACCTTACCAGACTGGCAGGAGACAAGGGCAATTGTTTGTGAGCTGCGTGGGGCCGCAGCGCCGACTTCATCCCCACAGGAATGTTCAGAAAGCGATGCTGTGACAGGCGCGTGCAAGTCTCTGTCAAAGTCACTTAGAAGGAAAGCAGCCAGAAGCCGACCTTACTACGGGGAGAGGACGATGACTGACAGCCGGGAGAAGGACTCGCCGCACCAATCACCGATCTCACCGCGGACCATTCCTCCCGAGCAGCAAACTTCCCGCTGACACCGGGGATTATATATGAGAACCGCGGACAAAAGTGATAATTGTATCCGAGAATGTGCAGCTTTACCTGTGCCTGGGGGGTGGGGGC